CACCCATTTTAGTGCTATAACTGCTTGTGTCCGTAAACATGCATTTTGTTTCTCTGGTTCACAGATGTCGGCAGTCAATTTTTTTATGTTTTTCTGGTACTCCTCTGTCCAGATTTTCTTCAGTTCATCCTGAATCACTCTGTGTGCAGGTATCTAGTATGAAAGCTACCACTTGCGTACTTGATCCCCTGCCAACTAGTTTATTTAAATCTTGTTTCGGCGTTTTGTGTTCTACTGTTCTTTCAATCATAAATGATTCTGTCAACTGGTGTTGTGCCAGCAGCACTTAAAACTGCTGCGGTCACCCGTTCTCAAAAAGCAAAATACTGATGTGAACAATTTAAACAATTTTCGTCCAATATCAAATCTTCAATTTTTGGCTAAAATTTTAGAGGGTGTTGTTGCTTCTCAATTACACAATCATTTGACTGTTTACAACCTTTTTGAGCCATACCAGTCTGGGTTTCGGAAACTGCACAGTACTGAGACAGCCTTGGTCAAAGTTACTAATGACTTGTTACTAGCATCTGACGCTGGATCTGTGTCAATCCTTATCCTTCTGGATCTAAGTGCAGCTTTTGATACGTCAACCATACAGTATTACTTAGTCAACTCGAATTGGTCTTTGGGGTGATAGAGATTGCTCTGGATTGGTTCAGATCCTATTTAACTGATCGTAGTCATTTTGTTTTTATGAATGGTCACAGATCAGAGGTTGGTCCTGTTAGTACTGGTGTCCCTCAGGGCTCATTACTTGGTCCCTTGTTTTTTAGCATTTATACGTTTCCTCTTGGGCAATTGTTTAGATCTCTCGAACTGAACTACCATTTTTACACTGACGATACGCATATTTACATCCACTCTAATCCGGGCCAAGATGTGAATATTTCTCATCTCACACTGTCTCTCTGAGATTACGTTTGGATGTCTGAAAATTTCTTGTTTAAATAGTTTCAAAACGGAAGTTATGCTTCTCGGCTCTCCCCATAAATTGCGTAATGCTAGATCTTTAGCTTTGTCTGTTGATGGTGTTGCTCTGGAGTTACAAAGTAAATAAAAAAACCTGGGTGTTATTTTTGATCCCAGCTTGTCATTTGAGCCTTTCATGCTGAACACTGTTAAGACCTCATACTTTCATCTCAGAAATATTGCACGGCTACAACCTATGTTGTCTTTCTCTGTTGCTGAAAGGTTAATTAATTTCTTTGTCTTTTCTCGTCTAGACTATTGTAACACCCTTCTTATTGGAGTCTCAAAATCTTGTATTAACAAACGTCACCATTTACAAAATTCAGCAGCCAGAATTCTTTCAGGGGCCAGGATTGTTGATCATATAACTCCTGATTTGGAATTATTGCATTGGCTCCCGGTTAGATTTCTTATTGATTTAAAAGTTCTCATGTTAACATACAAGGCACTGCATGGTATACACAAGTATTTAAAAAGACAAAGATATTAAAATGAAAACTGTACATGTTGCCGTTTTGATGCGTTTATGTATATTAGACCGCCTGATACGTTTCACGGCCTAAATATGAGGTAATATTAGTCATTCACATGTATGATAAGGCTAGGAAACTTACATCTCACAACAAGAGCCAAATACAACATGCAGTCACCTGTAAAACAGTCAGGCAGTGCCAGTTTCTTACCAAAAACGGCCTTGTAACACAAACATAACAGACAGATAGATCCAATCACTCCTCTTTAGTGTAAAGTGAGCAGCTCAAGTGGGATGATACATTTAAAAATTGACCCAGCCATGAAAGACAAAGTCCGTTTGAGTCTCAACAGACTGTAGAGGTATTTCTTTTGGTCGACATACATAATCATACCAGGTAAAAAAAAAAAAAAACCATACCAGTTTAGCATTATCTGGTAAGTATGAAAAAAGCAAAAGCAAAAGCAAGAAAAGCAGAATAAAACCAGTAGAAGACAGTCTTGTGCATGTAGATGAACAACTTGCATGAAGAAAGTTCACTGGTTTTTCATCTGAAAAAAAGCATAACTACTTAATTTGTCATCTCAAATGCAGCAGCATGCAGTAAAGAAAAATAAATCATTCTCAAAGAGATAAGTCTGTACCTTAACTCAAAGTACAAATACAGTCTGCAATTGACTTGTCAAATGTGACCCTGGACCCAAGTGAAAATCGCCTTTAAAGTTGTCCAAATGAAGTTCTTGGCAATGCATATTACAAATCAAAAATTAAGTTTTGATATATTTACGGTAGGAAATTTACAAAATATCTTAATTGAACATGATCTTTACTTAATATCCTAAAGATTTTTGGCATAAAATAAAAATCTATAATTTTGACCCATACATGTATTTTTGGCTATTGCTACAAATATACCCCAGCGACTTAAGACTGGTTTTGTGGTCCAGGGTCACAAATGGTTATTTCACAAAACATGATCCAATCTCTCGCATTAGCGTCTGCAAATTTCAATCTCTCCTCATAGAAATACATTAGCATTGATAGGGAAAAAAAGAGCTAAAACCAAGTAGTTATCAAATGCCTAAGTCCCAATTCTGACTTTTAGTTTGGCTTGTTTGGGTTTTTGGATGTCATCATGTCTACTTCCTCCTCCTTCAGGCTTTCTGGTACACAAGGACAGGACAGAGCAGAATATGAGGGGGACTTGATTTCCTGCTGCCTCCAGGGACAGTCTAAAGTGACTTTCATGTTTACACCCAACTGACAGAGCTTGTTGTTTAGGGTTTTTACCAATTTCCACTAAATAACTCGCTAAGAAACTGTACCTAACATCTTACCTTTGGCTAGCAGATAACCAAGATTTCTCAAGTCATTTTTTAAGAATGCTTCTAGGCCTCATAAAACAGTTCACACAGAGCATACATCAAGCCTTCTGCCATGTACTACTGAATCCACCATTCCCACAGTATTAACCTTTTGCATTAGGTGATCCGGTGAATATCAGAAGTGAATGTGTGGTTGAAAAAACACAATCACACTGAGATAGTTTGGTTTCATGGTCACATCTGATAATGGTTATTGTCCGGGTGCGTACGGCCAACTGATGGCACTGCCAGACAGCTGCATGTCACGGATGAGCGTCTCGATGGGCGTTTTGCCCACCAGGCGCATGAAGAAGAGCTGAGAGATGAGGTTGGCGGGCACGGCCCTCAGAGCGGGCAGTCGCAGTAGGAGCCGTCCGAAGCGTTGGGGCTGCCCGGGGTACTGCATGCGCTCGTACTCGGTCAGGGCCACCTGAGCTTTTTCCTGCAGGCTTTCCACATGAGCCGGGTCTGTCAGCCCACACGCATCTAAACACAAAGAACACCAGATATTCAGGTATGAAACTAGACTCCAAACTAGACTCCCTCTAACTCAACTGGTAAAGCATGATGCTAGCAAGGACAAGGTCATGGTAGAGCTCAACAATATGGAGAAACGCTGGCCTGAGTCAAGTTGCCAACAAGTCACTCATTTCCAATGGGAAGTAGTATAAGTGAGAGGTACATTGAGTTATGTGGAGCTTTCAGATCTGATTTGGTTTTGGATACAATGAAAGAATCGAGTCGAATCAAAACTAGGATTGTGAGGTGAGAACTGCAATTTTTGGACTTAACATTTGATCTTTAAATACTATTTCTGTAAAATGTGTGGTAATGAATATTTATGGCAACATGCTATTTTGATAGTCCACTCTAATGTTCTCCTAACTATAAGTAACTTTGCAACTACATGTCAAATACCAGTCATCAACACCCATTCTACTGACTAGTAACTTCTTCTACTAACCCTAATCTTAACCTAACAGTCTAATAATAATCTAAAGTTAGTTGACAAGTTGCAAATGATCAATATATAGTGTAAACCATACTTATGCTCCAAGTAATTATTTTATAATTATTACATAATAATTTACATTCATTAGCCCTAGAAAACAGCCTTCTATGTTTTTCTTTTAAACCTTTCGCTGGTCATTTGTTTTATGTGGGTATATTCATAAATGTACAGTTCATTTATTTAACCATAGTGAATAAACGGAAGGTAATGGCTGCTTCACAACCAATTTGAAGGTTCAGTGTGTCCGCCTTTTAGGGACAAAATGTGAAAAAATTATGCGAATGTCAGAGATAGTGGAAAGTTGGCTTCATTGTACGAGTTTGAGGTCAACTGATGGCCAGTGTTGCACTGTCATTTGTTATCACGCCTTGATAACTTAAACATTTAGTTGCACATTATACCAATTTAAACTTGTCACAAGATAAAATTTTCTAGCATGCTAGCAAGTTTTGTAGAAATTGCAAGAACGCATTACAAATGAAGTAAAAACTAATTAGTAATGCTTAGCCATGTATACCAGCACTTCAAGAGTTAAGAAATTAATGGCTTACATTATAACAGTATCATTTTCAGCAATGACTTATTACAGTAAATTTCTTCTTTGTAAAATAAACACGTGTGTTTTAAATGTACATGTTTTCAAATATAAATGATAAATTAAACCGATATTTAATGACGATGATAATGATTGTTTTTAATGATTACATATAAAGTATGTAAAAAAAAAAAAAACTAAATTCTGATCAATCTGTGGTTGGACTAAGA